CTGCCATTGTCCCATAACGACAAAGGGGAATCAACGAAGGTAGGGAGGTGGCAACTGAATCTAGGAGCATTATACAAAAATTGATGAGACCAAAATTACCATAATTTGATGCATTTGAAGGTGACCAGGTTTTCGCTCCTGTAAGTGGAAGGGTAAAACCTACTACTTTGGTGCAATTTGATCAAATTTCATAAAATCAAATACGTTTGATTTTCTTTTTTATTAGTTGATGCATAATATATAATACAATATATTATACTGGCGATAAAAAAGGTACCACCCTATGTGTTTGATGGGTTCGTCTTTCAAGTAGAAAAAAAAGTGTTTTTTTTCGACCACGAAATTGAATTATATAATTTAGTATTTGACAGATGAATCAAGGTGAACGGATTATTTTTCAACAAAAACGTCTCTTTGATGACTGAAATTTGACAATGGTAAAATTTGAAAGTCACACATCAGTACGCTGTTTGATCTTCATGTGCATTCAGCACCAAAGTGCATCACACAGGATACACACGTCTTGCAGCAAAATGTTGTTTCAAGCATTGGTGAGAGCTTGGTGCAACAGTACAGTAAAAATGGTTCTGGGCCGGGATTCATGTCACAAGCAACACAGTTAATCCTGTCCAATAGGTGCTCAATTGGGTTCAGATCTGGTGAAATGACAGGCCGTGGACTCATTACAGCGACGCCATTATGGATTTTAAAGAGTTCAATTCAAAGTGGAGTTCACTGTATGCGGCTGCATTGTCCAGTTGTATTGTCACGGGCTGGTTGCGTTGAAAAAATGGCAGATTGTACTCATGTGGTCTCCTGCACACTTTTATACTCCCATTGTGGCGTTCATCTTGGAATTGAAAATCGTCCGCAAAAGTGAGGGTGTCTCACTGCTCTAGGTCCATCAGCGGTGTAGCTGTGACCAGTTCATCCTAGCCTGGGTGGGGGTTTTTTTTAGGGGGGGGGGGGGCTGTAAACGCAGTCTGCGCGCAGGCATCTTTAGCTTTAATCTTAGATTTCCAGTCTGCAACGAACAGTATGCCGCTAATGAATAAAAGTCCAGAAAATTGTCTTGTGATTTGAGCAGTTGTCCTTAAACGATTTCTTATGTGCACTGTCTTGATTACCGGTCCTGAGCTGGTATTTTTACCTATGGACGGTCAGTTCTGTGTCGGCCTTGAATAGGTCAAGTCACGACGTACTGTTATCTCATTAGGCTGACCCTCCTTCTGCTGACGTTAAATTAATGTCCTCGCAACAGCAGAGCTCCGAGAATGCCGATGGCTGGATTTTTCTGATTTTCAGTTTAAGGTACTGTGTCTTGTAGGTGACTATGATCAAATGTTGATGTGGTTTTAAACAGTCCTAAACTGGGGGGCTCTTGTGGCTTAGAGGTTAAGGTGTTGGCCTCTCAAGGTCCCGGGTTCGAATCCGGGTAGCGACCGAAACATTTTCTTCTCGAAAATTGTCTCCTTTCACCTCCTATCCTGCTCTCTAGCAAGGTTCTGTCGTCTGCTTTCGTCTCCTCTTTCTGCCCCCACCCCCTCAACTCCTTTGCCTCCTCCTCTTGGCGCCTGACTCTTTCTGCAGCCTTTCTACTGCTACTCCTTGGCTCCTTCTTACTGCTGTCTTTCAGCCACACCCCTGATCTTCTGGTAGGAAAGATCTACACCTAGCCTTCCCGGACAAGGGCGAAAAATCTTGGAGGTCCCGTGTGCAAATTGCGCACGTTAAAGATTCTTTAGTGGTCTAAAATCGATAAGAGTAGACCTTGGCCGCCCCCGGGCAAAATTCAAAATCTCCTAGCATTTGAAAAAGTTTAATGTGTCCCGTGCGCTCAAATGACCTTATGCAGTTGCGAGCGCCGTAAAACACTTATAAAAAAAAAAAGGCCTAAACTTCATAAAAAAGAAGAATAGAAAAAATAAACCCCGCCACGTGATAAAGGAAAAATAAGAATTTTCTGTTTTCCCACGTAAGAGCTGCGAACACTATTGAAGCATCTTAAATTTTATTTTTACATTACCTACTTTTCAGAGTACTAAGTACTACTCAGGTTAAAGATAAAGCGTATAAGACTCAGATGACTAGATTATAATATACACAATCAAAAAGTGGCTAATGATTTGTAATATTTATTACACAAATGATTCTTATCAATCTCCCAATTTGTTGACAAAGACTCAGAAAATTCGATATGTCTTGATTGGTATGAAAAGCAAAACACAAAAACACACGCACGCGCGCGCGCGCTCACACACACACACACACATATATATATATATCTCTCTCTCTCTCTATAGATATATAGATATATATATAGATAGATATATAGATAGATATATATATATATATATAGATATATATATATATATATATATATATATATATATATATATATATATATATATATATATATATATATATATATA